CCCCCCCTTCCCCCTCTGCCATACATTATGAACGCAGCCTAACATTGGCCATTGCCCTTTGAATGATTAAACTTATACGAAAAATACCATCGCTAATCACCACCACAAGTACAGCAGTGGCGCAGCTCAATGGGGTTGAACTGAAAGCATGTAAAGCGCCTCAGGCAGGCGCTATACAGTCCACGTATGACCCCGGAGCACAGCTCTAACCAGTTTGAATTAGTTTGAGTTGATTGGAGAGGAGGGCCGGAAAAACTGCATATGGGGGTTAAGTTCGTTTGATGTGTTGTTTTCTCACTTGCCACGTAGGCTTTTCCCCGGTTTACCTCCCTCCGTAAAGATCAACATGTGAGTTGACTGCACAATGAATACATTGGTGATAATGAATATAGTACCGCGTGAAGCAAACCTCGCGAAAGAGCCTGTTACGATGACTGCAAAATATAATATCGCATAAGGATACGGCCTCTTACGGCCTTAATTCTTCCGCGAAGAACAAAAGATGCGTTGATGAACCTGAGTGTCAATATTTTGTGCTCCAAAAAACTGGTCATAGTAGCAAGTATTTGACCTACACAATATAGGACGCGCTTTCATAATTTCAAACCTCAAATAATGGCTTTGGAATAAAAGTGTTCACAAAAATTGCTTCAAGTTGAGAAGTTCTTAACGAATTTAACAAATAGAACGGGACTTGCAATCTTGGACAAAAATAGTTGAGAAATTTTCATGCAATCATGAAATAGTACAATTTCCCTCGTAAAAATTTGATTGACTGTACGCCATACCTCGTTTAGGGACGGGGGGTCGTCTTAAGGGGTATTTTTTAATGTTTTACTAAAAAAYATGAGAACTAAACATGTCTCATCATTTTTGTCCAAGATCATGGGTCATAAGGGTTGCGTGCAAATCAGGAAAAGAGTATTGAATCTCTGCTTAAATGAAAACAAGGCGAGAAAATTCGAATGAAACCAAAAGAGCTCGTAATTGTTTCCAAATATTTTGTGTTCAATATAAGACTTRAATATTTCCTGGAGCAAAGTAGTGTTACCGGAAAAAGAAATCCTTCAAAATAATGAGCGCCTAATGAAAGCAATTGTCTGCCATGAACTTGAAACCACTTTAGAAAAATTTACCGCTTTTCTAAGAATATAATTGAATAGTTTAGTGGAAATTTTATGGAAGCTTTTAAGAAATCGTTACCTTTGTTAGGGAAGAATCTGAGCCATGGAAAATAATCCACAAGGTTTCCAGCCCGAAATCCCTGCGAGAAGCGATCAGTGTAGTGGATAATGCTATGGAACTCTGGATCATCGATCTCGTATCGCGAACCAAACACGAATGAACAGATAATGTTGAGCACTGCAAGCTGAATGTCATGAGCAGGGTTGAAGGGAGTTTCTTCCTTCTGTGGTAGACGTTCAATCAGCTCGTCTATCTCCACACATATTTTGGTTTGCAGACGTTCAATCCCACTTCCAAACATCTTCAAAGCCGAGTGAGCAATTTTTCTCTGCATTTTCCAGGTCGCGTCGAAATCCCCAAAAGCAATGCTCTTTCCTCTTCGAGATATCAAGCTTGCGGTATGAAGCAATGGACGGCCGGCGAAGTCGTTCGGCCGACGCAAGAGAGCTTCCCGAGCAGATTCGATGCTGTTGACGACAACAATGCGATGAATCCCGACTTGTAGCCGAAAAACCTCACCATATTTTTTGGAAAGTGATGTAAGACSAAGATGAGGTAGGACTCCCATGTGAAACATGTTCCCCACCAGGGGGAGGGGGACGGGACCAGGGGGGAGTCGCTTATCCTCGAGGTAGTGAGCAGCTAACGTGTAAAAAGATAGAGCCACCACTGCGAAAACAAACACGGACAGTATTTCCACGATCATGATGAGGCTTGTTCGAGAAGACGACGCTGTTGGAATAATARATTATAACATCAGGCAACTGAACAATATTCGACTCTAGGTATCAAACCAGCTGATGGCCTTGAGAACAAACTCAAAGTCAACCAGAGAACCCAATAAATAAAAATTTTTCATTCTTTAAATTTATTGTAATGCTACTAGTTTACTCTTGGTGGAATTCTAGTTCCAACACGACAGATTTACATTTTACTCAGCCCCTGCTAGGAAAATGCTAACCAAAAATAGTTGACCCATAATCCCTTTCGGGGAATGCTGTCAACTCCGCTGGAAAGTAAACAAGTAAAGAGCAGAAGGAAGGTAACAACGTTTCTCTTAGGCAAATAGCGACGCCTATAAAAAGTAAAAATTCCAAATATATCTAGCAAGAGACCAAAAAGTATTTCATAGCTTAGTATTTATAAAGAGACGACATCATACTCATTAACAACGCACACTCACAATCCACGGCATACATGCAGCAGATACGACTTGGTACATAAGTCAATCAATTTGATGAGAAAATGAAAGAGTTGATTGATTCTAAATATAGTAACGCCGCAAGGACGGAAGGATCAGGAATCGTTAGTGGTTATCAATTAAGAAGTCGGAGCCAAATGCAAAAAAAAATGCCTCCAGACCAGATTATCAAACACTCTATCCACAGAACAGACGACAAAAGACTGGAAAGTAGTCACCCTTTTTTCGTCGGCGCAACTTTGTCCTCAGACATATTAGTTACCCCATCCTCGGTAACACAGGAGTTAAATTCTGCCCCTCTTTTGTCGCAGAAACGAGCAACAGAATTTTACCCCTGGTTTACCGAAGATGTACGTAGTTGCCCTTGATTCCTTCGAAAATTGAACATCAATAATATGCTCTATACCTCAGCACAGAAACACTCAGGCCAAACCGCAAGCTTTACCTTTAACCTTCAAAATATCGAATTTTATCGGTACCGTGAAACCGAACCACCACAGCTAAGTCAGGCTCCGTCCATACGCATCCGGATGGTTTCATCCGGATATTTTTGAAAACGGATTTTTTAAATTATCGGCCGACGTAGCGTTAGTTTTCGAATCATTATCATATATATAAAGTTGAGTTTTTTAAGGCCAAACCACAGAAAAAAATTCCGTTTTCGAGAATTATCGGCCCCACGTAGTGTTAGTTTTCGAATCATTATTATACCTGTTGCGTTTTTTTAAGGCCAAACCATTCCGTTTTCAAAAATATCCGAGCCTCACAGATTGAGTTGGAATTTAGCTTGTTAGGTTTTGCAGGTTTTGCGGCCGTGGAAAACCAGATCTAGAGAATCCAAAAAAACCCCCAGGAATATCAAAGGAGAGACACGACAAACCGTACTTACTGATCTGCTATACACCTTCTTCTCTGAGTCTTGCTCTTTCGCGTTGTGTTTGCTCACTACTATCAGTGAACAGATTCATCGGCCGAGAGAGCATAAAAATTCTTAGATGATTTATTAATGCCCATTAGCTTGCGCAGTCCCTCACCGGCACTAATTTGGCTAAAATACTTTTGACTGTGGATCATAAATTTTATAAATTTGCTCTAGAGTTGCCCAAAAGAAAGAAGAAGAAGAAGAAGCCGGTAGGAACGATAAAAACACAAATTAGGACCAAGACTAACTGTTACTGCTTCAGGCGGACAATACAACGAATTCGCCTCAGTTGTTCGTGCCCTCGGCACATGAGCACTACTGGAAACTCTTTTCTTTGCGAACATCGCCTTCGGTCATTTATGCTCCAAAATAGAATGAAATTATCAAAGTAAGGTTCTTGTGTTTAGATCGCCATCATCCGAATTTTTCAAAGTTATCGAGCGCCTTTAATTCCCGCACCAACTTCAAAATCAATCTTATATGAAGTCACAAGAAACCTAAAGAGTAAAGTAGAGCTATATATATATATATATATATATGTCGGTGTATGAAGCATAAATGTTGGGAATGACTGAATATCAGTAAGTTACTGTCGTTTCGGACATCAGTCCTTCGTCAGAGTAAATAAGAAATCTGTTTTGCTTGAAAATCTGAGATAGAAACATGTTTTTGAGTGAATGAAGTTGTTCGGCTACAGGTCAGATGGTAGACAACATACTGTTGCCGGGCAGACCGAAGTGACAGACTTGAGAGCACTACTTCACCCAAGAGTGGTTCTTAATCGGATTTTTCTATCTTTTAAGCTCAGTCTCGCCTTCTGCTGAACGTCTTTCTAACGGCTCACTTTTCAGAGAGTAATTATTAAGTTTACAGCTCGAAAGTGCTTAGCGCTTTAATTGTCTATAGTTATCAATATCGCCATTTGAATACTTTACCTTGGTTTTAACACTTGAAATGAGTTTTCCCGCCAATAAAATCGAGAAGTGAGCTCAAGTTGTGCTGGAAAACGGAAGCAACCAGTATGTTCGTCTTCTCTGGTTCTGTCTAGCGAGGTAAATGAAACGGTACGTGAGATTAAGTGGCAAATATTGCTTGTTTTCAACTTAACAAAAGAAAAAGCTTAATCCTATGGGATAATATTCTTAGCCAAGACGATTAAAGACAGAATAGAATGAGCAAGGTCTTCATTCTTTTGAAGCGCAGTTCACTTTCTATGAAAAAAGTATTAACCTCGAAGTCGTTGCCATGCAGGAAACCCTTTTATAACCGCTAGTGTCAGGAGATCAGTTGAATGGAACGGATTTCCTTGAGTTTTTATCTGTTATGCCTCATTCGATATCTCAGCTGGTAACCTGTATTCTCTCACTGTGTTTCTGAAGAGCCGACGTGAGCTGAACTCAATGTATTGATCACGGACCGTGGAAATGACTACTCAGTCAAGTGCGGTAAAGAACAACGGAGAGGTTGAAGTACTCTTCGAGATAATAGGGACCTTAAGCTGCAGGACGGCAACGTGGGCGACAACGTCGGCGAAATTGAGGCGCTTCAACCTTCTATTGTATTATTATATCGTGTTTACCTAGTATTTTACTCAATAAGCATCCCCGTTTTAGAGTGAAATGTCGTCTTTTGGGAGCGCTTTACTTATAACGAAAATCAGCAAAGATAAGCTTTTGGCGTAGCCGTTCTCTTTAGGACGTAAAAATAGGACATTTCACGTCTTACTTTTAGCATAAGACGGTAATGTTGCACAGTGTTTCGTACRTTCCAACGAGTATCTATTGAATAGCGCAATTAGTGCTATTGTATGTTTGCCGTCGTCGTCGTCGTTGCCGTCCTGCAGCTTAAGGTCCCTATTGTGATCCTTCCGATCCTCTAATACTCGGAACAATACCCGAGTATTCCATATATAAACCTTTCATTCTTGTTTCCTAAGGGCTCTTGTCACTGGTTCGTATCCGTTATCTCTTCTCTTTGAAGGATCACTGAAATCAAATCTATTAGCTCAATATAATACGGTATAGTAATGCCCTGGGGTAGTAGGAGATCAATTTCGTTCCCAGCACCACTGCCCCCAGCACGTGGTACTCCTCTCCCTTATTATTAGCAAATACATAACTAACCCGAGGGGACGGGGGGGAGGAGCTCCCGGGTAAATGTATCAAGGATGCTTGTATCTTTTATATGTATGGCATTGTTAAGTGCTTAAAGATCTATAAAGCCACTCAATTTCAAAAACTTCGAATATCGTTTAAGGGCACTTGGGATTTTCTTTTTCTTTTTTTCTTTCTTTCTTTCTTTCTTTTTTTTTTTTTTCTTTTTCTTTCTTGTTTTGACGAGTATTGTATTGACATTCGAAGGGATTCAAAGTATTTCGCTCGATTTTATATCTTAAATACACAATCTAGCTGGTAATCCTTCTCATTTTTCCTTTCAATATCTACTTTGCTTAGTTCTTTTTTGTTATCTTTTGAGTTCAGTTTTGAAGCGAATTCTATAATAAATTGATTGTCTGAACTACACTAAGAGTTTATGAGACGACTTCAGTCGATGGAGTCAAATGATCCTCATTTGACTCCATCGACTGAAGTCGTGGTCAACCTGGAGTCAAATATTGGAAGATCTATTTGCTAATACTTTCTCTATGGAGAATAAAGTCCTCTGAAAAGCAAAGTCGGGATTTTGCTTTTAATTTCAAAGTCGGGCTGTGTGTTTTTTTTTCGAAGAAGCTTTAAACCTACGAGTCTTCAAAATCGCCGTGTCAGTTATATGTTACAATCAGGACGATCTTCGAACGATTTTCGAAATAGGTGTATATTTCCAAAACCTTATTGACACCCACCTGTTGATTCACATGAGGATGATGTGCTATGCTTGCCGTCTAGGTGTATAGGAGTCGATTTGTTTTAAAAATTGGGGAACTTGATTTTTATTCTCATTTAGATACTATGCAATGATTCATGCACTATACACGAACTTGAATGTTCTATTGTTACATACTTGTCACTATAGCAAAGGTTTCTATTTCTTTATATTCTTTGAATTTAGTCACCATAAACTTACCGAAAATCGAAAATTTTGCAATCGGAATGATTTCAGTGATTGATAACTCATTGTAAACATACCTAATTATTTCAAATGTGCAAATCAGATAAATGTAAGACATTTCAGTGGTTTTCGCAAAATCAAATGTCGACACCCACCACTTTGCAGCAGATTTTAATAACTTAGGTAATGTATATTATAAATGTACTATCGAAATTGTTTTGAAAATTGGGGAACGTTGCTTAACTTTGTGTTTTGGTGAAGAAAAATGTAATATTTACAACACAGGAAGCCCAATAGTAAACGCTCAGAATGTGAAATTCTGATAATATTAAAATGAATAAAATTTTATACAAACCTTCAGCTGTATTTTTATAGTGGTTTATGATTTTTCGAAGAACTTTGCACTTTTAGCTTGAATTTAGTACTTTCTATGGCACATTGTATGTGGCCATGTAATAAGGTTCAGCGGATTAAGCGCATGCCACATGCAAATTAGCGCCCTRTTGYTATTTAGTGACTAATAGTTGCTAGCACTCAACCAGAAYATTCATTAAACAAAGGACGCAAATGGTCTCTTGTGTATTTGTCTTTGTATGATGAATGTTCTGGTTGAGTGATAGCAACTTTTAGTTACTAAATAGATACTATTTGTCAGTAGTAACTTTGTTGTTATTTCATGGTTTTAGAGTGCACGCACTAAATCCGTGAACATTAATTAGTACTAATTAGTACTATTTCATACAGAATCCTTTGTTTTCTATTGTTTATTTATCACCATTTAGTACTAAAAGTTAGTATTTGTTTCRCGGGTTTAGTRCGTGCACTCTACTGCATGCGCTCTATAAAGCTTTGCCTCATTGATTCGATTAAAACAAAAAAACATGTGAAAACAGGGTAGCCGGATCGCGCGCAGTATGCGTATGCAGAAAAACAAACGATGCCAAATGTGATTCTAAATATAGCATCAAAGAGTGCTCATGATGGGGCGCAGGGATTCCTTCCCTTAGTTCATTTTCTCTTGTAGGGTAACTAATCTATATAATGTAACTATCGTGATAAAAATAGCATCAAACGGTTATAAGCATATGAATGCCAGAGATTCCTTATCTTAGCTTAGAGTGCATGAAGTCATTAAACCCGTGAAATAGATGTTAGACTAATACACTTTAACAGACCCTAGAAGTCTATTGTTTTCTTTTGTGTCTATTTGACTATTACGCGTTGACTACGTAGTATTTTTTATTTCACGGGTTAAACGCCTTCACTCGATCTTCTCTTGTAATTTACTAATACATTGATTGTTGTTTTGGTTTTGCAGAGGAGTATGTCACACTCTGAAGGCTTATAATGAACGCGAAAAACATATTATCCAGCTGTCAAACGAAAAGGGAAATATGCAGTACAAGCTCAGCTGCAAGACTTAGTCAAACCACTTCTAGTCGAACGTGAAATTCTAAAGCAAGAACAAACGTACTCGTACTAAGARAACGACCACAAACACATGACCCTTCCCCTTTCTCATTAATTTCCTTGTTTCAGGAATTATTTTTTCAGAGCCCCAATTTCACTTTCCCACCATCCCCTCCGATAATAACCAATAGGCCATTTCACGGATCCCGTTACTCAACCTCAGCCTCGTCAGCGTGTAATTATTCTTTAGAATTTGACCACAGTCCGCAGTAATGAAAGGAATTTACACATCAACGAACAATTGAAACACTTAAAAATTTCACAAGTTGTAGGCAATTTCTAAAGAATATATTACACGCAGACGAGGCTGAGGTTGAGTAACGGGATCTGTGAAATGGTCTATTGACGATTCTTAAAAGTCACGTGCATGCGGGCTTAGCCTCGCTCCTAAAATAGAAAACAAAAGTGGAAATTACACTAACAAAAACAAATATTACCTGGAYTGGAGGTTAAGCCCGCATCACGAGACTTTTAAGAATCGTCAATATCTTGGTCAAAAACGGACTGTAGCGATCCTTGGTAAGGAGGACGCCGCCGCTGAACTCGCTCATCTTGTATGGAATTTTTGGTTTTTTTTTTTTTCATTCATAGAATAAATAATCTAGTAGTTTTGATTGATTCACAAACGTTATTCAATTTTTTTTAGCTTTTTTAACAACTTTTTTTCTTTATAACATATCGGCCAACATTCTCTCTAATTTTACGCAATAGAGCAAGGCATTATGGGTCATGAGAAAATAGCGAATAAAACTTGTAACTTTTCCAGATTTTTAAATGATTCTATTCTTTATTTTATTTTATTTTTTCGTATACATAGAAAATATATCTAACATTGTGATGAACGCTCAACAAATTTTGCTGGTTGCAACAGGACATCTTTCGTAGAAACACTTCCTTATATGTACTTGCAAACCGGTTAAAACCAGTTTATAGAGCAATAGAAACGCGTCATATAAAAGTGATTTCGTCTCCTAGTACGTTTGCCAACTAACGTTTGCCGTTAATTCCTCCTTGAACATGTATTATTTCTTTACTTAACTGTACGCTTTCCTTGGCGCCAACAGACAAGGTAAGACTTAAATGAAATAAAGTTATCGARTATTGAAATAATAAGATTCATCTCGAAAGAAAAAAACAAATTCGCAGTTTTAAAAAAGATASTCTTTATATTTAAAACAAATAATTTTTTAACGAGTAAATAAATCTACTTTCTTTCGACATGATGTATGGTATACAGGACTCTAGCTCTATGTAGGTATACATTCGGCTTTTCATAAATCATTTGAGATCGGAAGTTAGACGCCGACTATATGAATTTTGACAGTTTTGTTATTGGAAGACTACTAGGCAAACAAAATACAGGAAATAAAGCGAGAAAAATTAGATACGTAGTAAATATATCCATTTCTTTCAAAACGAATGGCAACAATATTCGTAAACTATTTCTAAATTTATTTTCGGAAACTGATTTGCCGTTTAAGAGAATATAGATGCAATAAATATACCACAGTGACAACAATTCACTTGAGTTTCCTCGTTGTATTTACATAAGCATGTTAAAGCTATTCCCTAGGAATCCTATCGGTTCTCTGCTCAGTACAATAGCTTTTCATTACGTTTATCGAGAGCGTTAATATACTGTCACGAAAATAATCCATTAAGCAGATTCGAGTGCGTGCTTTAGTCGTAGGGATAAGGAAATCTTTTTCGTGGAAATTTTATTAAGTTCTCATAACGTTTAAACATACGTTCGGTCAATAAATCTGGAATAAAACGAAGGTCATTGGGGCATGCCGATTAATATTAATTGACGTCTAGACACTGTCTTAAAAAAACTTGAATGAATATATTTCTTAAATGCATGCATATATATATTTGAATATCTGTCCCGTGTTTATGTATCGTAGATAATAGATTTCGTCAATTGGGAAATGTATTATACCGTAATACAGTCAAACTGAAAAAACGCGAACACCTAAAATATGTCGGGAATGTTTAAATATCGTGTCCTGACCAATCACATGTGACTGCTTATTAGAAATGAATTCATTCTCGCATGTGTTACGCCACAAAATGTAATAACTCGCACAAAATGTAATAACAACGCAAAATGTAATA